CAAATACCCATTACTGTTAGCAAATTAAGACTTCATGAGAAGAACGGTATTATAGAACAGAAAGATAGTACAGGAGTTAAAACACTTGCCTTGCTTGCAGCCTACCTGAGTTCGATCCCCAGAACCACATCTGGTCCCCCAGTACGACTGGGAGTGATTCCTGAGCCCAGAGCCAGGAGTAGCCTCTAAATACTGCCATTTTTGACCCAAAAACAAAAGCAAGCAAACCAAAAGGTTTGAGACCAGCATCTATGTAAGTCATGAAATGTACAAACATCACATTAGCTTAGAGCAGCAAGCTATTAAATGTATTCCAAACAAAATTAAAATGACAACAGAATATTAAATTTTGAAAGAACTGACATTTGTGTTAACAATACATAAAATTGAAATACAAGGATTCTCAAGGTCTTCAAAGCTGTTGTTCTCTGCCCTTCTAATTCACTGTGCCCTCCCTGTAGTAATTTCACCTCTATATTCTCTGTGTTATGAGGTAAAATTTTGTTATAATTAATTGGAGTATATTTTTGTATCAGGCTATTGTGAGTGCTTTATGAATATACTTAATCTTCGTAGCAACTCCAAAATAGGTACTTTTATGATACTTCTAAGATGAGGCAACTGAGTCAGGCAGTTTGTCTCTGGAGCTCCCAATTCTCAAACTCTATGATACATAGAGGCATATGACAAGTAAATTTCAGTTGGCAAACTGTGGCCTTGGGTCACATTTGGGCCCCCTCCTATTTTTGTAAATAAAGTTTTGTTGTAATACAACCTCCTCCACAAGGAGTTGTAACAGGGAACATACAGCTCACAGAACCTCAGTTATACACTCTCTGACTCTTTTCGGAGGGGTAAAGGGGGCAGGGTGTCACACCCGGCTGTGTCCAGGGCTTACTCCTAGCTCTGCCCTCCGGGATCACTCCTGGCAGTGCTTGAGGAACCATATGAGGTACTGGGGATCGAACTTGGACTGGTCACCTGCAAGCCAAATGCGCTAATCCACTCAGCCCTTTAACAGAAAATTATCGCTAGCCATGGAGATCAGCTTGAAATCTCACTAATGATTAGGATTTGAAAGGGGAAAGTGCCCTTTCAAAATGTTGGATACTAGCAGTAGATTGTTCCATATTTACCTCGTTTAATGTACCTGTGAGGTAGAGAGTCTGATTTCCACTTTAGAAATGGAAAGACTAGAGTTGTGAGAGGGGAAGGACTTATGCCAGCTGCACGGTAAGCTCCGTGAGCCTCTGGGGATTGTGTGTCTTCATCGTCCCAGCCCTGTCCCCAGGGCAGAGTGGGGCCTCAGAAACCACCTGCTGAATGGATGACAGTAGGAAAGGTCACCCAGCTGGAGGATCCCGGTCTCCTCTCCCGGGGTCCTTTCTGCTGACCCACAGCTGCCTGGCTGTGAAAAGAGGGACTTTCTCTTGAGATCAGCTAGAACCGTGGGCGGTTCACCTGTCATTCTGGTGTCAGAGACCTGTTTATTGCCGGCCCCTCCAAATCCTTAGCCAGGCACCATCTCTGTTCCACCATGGGCCTTGTTTTCCTGCAGGTACCTCGTTGTCACCTTGAGTGTTTCTTCCTCTGTCCTTGTGATTGGAGCATTTAGGGGGCACATTTAACCTGGGCTGGGAAGAGATTTCCGGTGCAGCACAGAGCCCTCACCCCCACCCCCCACTCGGCCCCACCCGGGTCAATGAGTCAGTGCAGCCAGGCGGCCCTTCCGAGCACCAGTGCAGCCTGAGACTCAGCTTGTGTTTTCTCTCCCCGGGCTTCAGGCGGCTCATGTGAGGCTTTGGGTATTAATAGCCTCTTGGCTTGGCCTTCTGAGCCCTGTTGTTGGTCAGGGAGATAAATGAAAGGTTCAGCTAGTCCTTTTGTGCCATTTTTCACTCCTCGCTTGACTGTCACGTGCTGCTGGTGACAGAGCTGAACCCGCCTGAAGGTGTCCAGTGTGGTCACGGGGCTGGGATGCTGCAGGCGTGAGGAGCCACCCATCGCTGACCTTCGCCAGCCAGCCCCTGCCTTTCCTGCGCCCCCTCCCCGCTCCCCATCTGAGAACCTCGTCTCTGCCTCCCTGAAAAAGGTCTGGGGGGTGGTTTTTCTTGTGTTTAGTTTGAACTTGAAGCAAAATTGTGTTCAGAAAATTAAAAGTCTAGACAAGAGTCTGAGAGGTTCCCAGGGCACCCTGGGGAGCTCCACTGTCTCCCTCGCTTGTCTCTACCTCCGTCTCTTGCTTGCTTGTTCTTTTGAGTGCATGGTCTCTTGAACCCCTATTTCTTTCCTCCTCTCCCGCCCCCCCCCCAATCTTTCTAAGTAATGTCACGGTCCTCCCGTTGTTCATCGATTTGCTTGAGCGGGCCCAGTAACGTCTCCATCGTGAGACTTGTTGTTACTGTGTTTGGCATATCGAATACACCACGGGTAGCTTGCCAGGCTCTGCCGTGCGGGTGAGATACTCTCGGTAGCTTGCCAGGCTCTCCGAGAGGGGTGGAGGAATCGAACTCGGGTCGGCCATGTTGGCTGCATGCAAGGCAAACGCCCTACCGCTGTGCTATCGCTCCAGCCCTTTCTAAGTAAGTTGTGTTCAATAAAAACTGTCTTGCTTCACTTAAAATAAAAAAGGTTTAAATGGATAAACAGATGCCCTGGAAGCAGAGATTCTTTGGATTGCTGGGGTCTTTGATCCAGTCTTCAGATTGTCACTTTGTCGCTTCTGTCAGCTTTGATACCTATGTATCAAAGCTGTGTCACCCTCCATGATGGCTGTATTCTCCTGACTCTGGCCTGGGCCTGGGCAGGACAGGAAACTTATGTGGAAGAGATTCATTAGCATAAAGGATGGGGCTGGGGCCTGGGTTCTCAAATCCGCCTTTCTCCTCCGAGATGAGATGGTTCTACCTAGGGAGCTACTGTGTTCCAGGGAGATTGCTATTTTCTGTGGACCGTGTTTATTGGCTGATTCTGAGGCAGCATCAAGTGTATTGAAGCCTCTGCTGAGTGCTCAGACTTCTTATGACTGAGTCTCCTCTGCCTCAGTTTAATCATCTGTTAAGTGGATTTGCTCTGTGAGCTCCCTAAAACCCACTTCTTATTGAAAATTTCACTTTTGGGGACTGGAAAGATAATGGGGGGTAAGGCCCCTGTCTTGACTGCAGCTGCCCCTGTTTCAACACCACATATGGTCCCCAAGCACTACTTAAAGTGAACCCTATGCACAGAGCCAGGAGTAAGCCCTGAGCATCACCAGATAAGGCCCAAACCGCCCCTCAAAAAAAAGCAAAAGTTCCCATGTTCAACTATAGAATCTCTGGCCTCTTCTAATCTTGCCACATTTGTTAAGAATTTTGCTATTGAACAAATACTGGGCTAAAGATGCACCCAACTTAAACTATTAGCTTTTGTTTCTGGCCAGCATGGGGACTGATACAAATGGGGCTTATTCCTTCACCACAAACACCCCCTTCGTTTTCCACCTGAGGTGTGCCACATCCACCTAACGGCTTTTCTTTTTTTTTTTTTAATAGCTCCATTTTTTTTCTATTTTTTATTAGTGATACACCATGAGGCACAGTTATAGACTTACAAATTTTTGTGCTTGGGTTTCAATTATACAATGATCAAATACCCATCCCTCCACCAGTGCCCATTTCCCACCACCACGGATCCCAGTATCCCTCCCACCCCCCCCCCATCCCTCCACCCCACCCCACCTCTGTGGCAGGGCATTCCCCTCTGTTCTCTCTCTCCTTTTGGGTCCTGTGATTTGTAAGAGAGGCATTGAGTGGCAATCATGTTTGGTCTATAGTCTACTTTCAGCATGCTTCTCCCATCCTGGGAGGAGGATCCTCCCAACACCCTTTATTTGGTGCTCCTTTCTCTATCTGAGCTCCCTTTTCCCCTAGCATGTGTGGCTGGCCTCCAAGCCATGATAGCTCCATTTTTTTTTTATTGAATTACTGTGAGATACACAGTTGTAAAGCTGTTCATGGCCAGATTTCAGTCATACAATATTCCAACTCCCATCCCTCCACCAGTACACAATTTCCCACCACCAATGTCCCCAGTTTCCATCCCCCCCCTCCCCACCAGCCTGCCTGTTTGGCAGGTGGTCTGTCTCCCTCCCTCCCTCCCTCTGTCCTTCCCTCCCTCCTTTTATACCTAAGGGCTTTCTGCACATTTCCTCTTTTAAGGATCTTGGTGATTCTTAGAACATACACATGAAGAAACTGGGGGGTGGGGGGGGGGCAGGAACCTTTAGAATTTTCCCCTTATCCCAGAGCTAATGAGTGGTCAAATCTAGAATGGAACCAGACAAATCTTGGCCTCTACACAGAAACATGTATCTGTGTTGCACATCCTTGAATCTCAGTCTCTCTCTTTCTCTCTCTCTCTCTCTCTCTCTCTCTCTCTCTCTCTCTCTCTCTCTCTCTCTCTTCTCTCTCTCTCTCTCTCTCTCTCGTTAAGTACCTCAGAAGATTCTACTTTGTTGACATTTTTCTTGAGTGCTGCCTAAGCAGCAGGTGGCTGGCTGGGACTTGCCTCTCCCTCAGAAAGTGCCCGTCCTTCCTGAACATGAGTTTTCAGGTGCCTGGCGGGGAAGGCACTGCCCTCGGGAGGAGCGTGCCCGCTGGGAACTCACATCTTTGCAGGCAGAGAAGGTTTTGTTCCAAGCATGGCCGCGTTGCCTGCTAAAGTAGGGCAAGAAAAATGAATTCACCTGAGCAGGAGCCAAACTCTTTTCTGTCTGAGGGGGTTGGGGAGGAGGGGAGGGCAGGAAGGAATTCTGTATTCAGACCTGCTTTTTGGGTTTGGGATGAGGCCCTCTTTGTCTTGCTCGGGTCACACCTCCTTTCTCTTGCCTGGTGGTCCTGCCAGCCATTTCTCTCCCCCTGTCAGTCTGTATCTCTGTCTCATGTGACTCAAAAGTAAAGATTAGAAGAGGAAAATAATCTCTGTAGCCTACGCCTGGCAACTTCTATTTTTGTCCACAGCTGTTGGAACTGATAGCCAAGTCACAGCTCACGTCCCTGAGTGGCATCGCCCAAAAGAACTTCATGAACATTTTGGAAAAAGTGGTACTGAAAGGTGAGTTCTCTTCCACTCCCTTCACTTTCCTGGAAGCCCCGGGATGGCCAGTAACATAGACACATTGTTAGTTTTAAGGGAGCAGGAGTAGGTGGGATTTCTCTTGCCAGGTATGTTCCAGAAGGGCCCGAGTGCCTGGCAGGAAGGAGCACCCCAGGCTCAGAACAGAGGGTGAGACCGTCAGCCTCCCCTCCTTTGACTGGGATCATCCACTTGCCTTGCTGTCGCCCTCCAAAATGTAGATGGGGGCTCGGGCCCCAGCCTTGTCTGCCAGGCCTGCCCCTGTCCCTGGTTTCTATAAAATGGAGCTGTCTTGAGGAAGAATCGAGTTGTTGACTATTGGAGCTAGAACAGTAGGTCGTTGACGCAACAGACTGGTCAGTATGAGTGAGGCTCTGAGAGGGAGCAAAGGATTGTCCAGACAGAATCCAGATCCCAGCTCCTGGTCCCCAGGAATCCCACATTCTGATGGAGGAACGAACCTACATTCAGAGCATGTGAGCCCTTGGTCAGGCTGAACAGTGAGCAAGAAAAAGAGTCTTTGTTGAGAACTAGGCGAAAGAAAACAAAGAAGGGCCTAATGGAGTGGAGCCTCCACCCCCTCCCCCGGGTCCCTCGAGAGCAGGAATGGCCAAGTGAGGAGGAAATGCCAGCAAGAAAAAAGATCCTATCCCCAGAGGTGGTCCCCAAAACACCAGAGCTGAGGGACTGGAGTGATAGCACAGCAGGTAGGGCATTTGCCTTGCATGTGGCCAACCCAGGTTCGATTCCCAACTTCCCATATGGTTCCCTCGAACACTGCCAGGAGTAATTCCTGAGTGCAAAGCCAAGAGTAATCCCTGAGGATCGCTGGGTTTGACCCAAAAAGTAAAAAAAAAAAAAAGCTGAAAGGAGGAGAGGTGTTCTGGGGTCCTCACTGTCCTCCCCCTTCCTTCCCTACGCAAGTCCTCGAAGACCAGCAGAACATCAGACTCATCAGGGAACTTCTTCAGACACTGTATACGTCCCTGTGCACGCTCGTGCAGAGAGTCGGCAAGTCCGTGCTGGTGGGGAACATCAACATGTGGGTGTACCGAATGGAGACGATTCTACACTGGCAGCAGCAGCTCAACAACATCCAGATCACCAGGGTAAGGGTAAGGGGGACACCTGGCTCCCTCCATACCAGAGGGGCTGTAGACCTGGTGGTGGGGCTCTCTTGCCAAGACGGGGATGCCCCCCTGCTTTGGTATGACTCTCAATGGCTGTCATCTGATGCTTTCTGCGGGATGCTGAGAGTGGGCTGGGGGACTTTCCTGGAAAGGGTGGGAGGGGAGAGGAACTTGGGAACTTAGGAAGCATGTGAAAGATGGCAGCTTAGCAAAGTATTGTGGGAAACTCAGGGCTTGGCTTTGGGTGAGATATTTGGCTATGCCAGTAAAATATATCCATGTATACATTACTCCATATATATATATATATATATATATATATATGCACACACATATATATATGCCATTCTTTATAATACTGTTGATAATAAGCTTTCGAGTATATAGTATCCCAGCACCATGCCCTCCACCAAAGTGTCTCCCCACCTCAACCCACCCTGCCTCCCAAATCCCCACCATGGTAGGCTCATTTCTGTATAGCAGTTCCCTGGTTCTACCCCTCAGATATTTAGAGGGATTGCAAGAGCTCTCTTCTCTGCTTATTTCCCCTTCAAGAATGTGCTGTTTTCAGCTGTAGGGTGGATGCCTCCTTGACAGCATTAGAGCAGAGCCCAGGTCCCAACCTTCTGAAAGTCTGTTTCCAAAGGCCAAGAGTCGTGGCCTTGGATTTGAGCAACCATGAGCATGTGGATAGGGAAGGAACAACTCTCACTCAAAGGAAAAACATAGCCCTGTATTTTAACTTTAAAATGTAACTTGGCCCTCCGATCTGGCCCTCTTCATGGGAAGCCGGAGGACCCAGGGCACAGGGCAGAGGCGCTGGTGTAATCTCTGGGGCTCACTAATGGACAGGCGCACTTAGGCAGCTCACGTAGCACTCGGGTGCTTATCTAATCACTGGCCACGGCTGTTGTAAGTGGTTCCGGGCTCCACGCTGATAACATGTGTCTCAGTCCCATGTCTCGAGAAAGTACCATGAAAATACCTCTTTGACCTCTTTTAAAGAATTATTTTATGATGTGAAGATTCTGAGCAGAGGTGTCCTTGACTTTGCTGTTAATCACTTTTCTTTGCTTCTAGACAAACTCGATATTATCCTCCAAGTGATTGAATCAATTATATCATAATACACACACAACCACACACACACACACACACACATACACACACGTGCATATGTGTATATATGCATGCACAAACTATACAAAACAGAGCACACACCCACATCATCTCTTAAAAGCTCTTATTTATTTGATTTTAAGAGAGCTTAAGTGGTACCTAATTGATTCTGATAATTAACCCCATTCCCATCTTTCAAGTGTGGGCCTAATTTGACCATGTAGATTTGAGACCTGATTTTTCCACTTGTCTGACCCAGAAAACCTGCTTCCCTTTCTCTCTAATTTCTGGCATTTTCTGTAGCCTTCATTGGGAATGTCATCTGATTTAGCCTCTCTAGAAAACCACAGGGAGATTTCTCAGAAATACAAGAATAGAGTGTCCATATGACACAGCAATTTCACTTTTGGCTTCTGGATATACTGAGCTCAAGGGGAATTTCTCCACCAAAAATCTAGGTGAGAAGTTTTCTTCTGACTCAAGGGCACCATTCCACCCCTCCAGCAGCTTTGAGACACCGATTTGGAACTCCTGTTTCCAGAACTTGTCTATCCTTCCCCTTACCTCCCCACAGGAGTGTCCATTGGCTACATCCACCCTTGTACCTGGCACTTCCATGGGCTTTGTCACCCAGAACCCCTTAGTTGACCCATCTTGAGAAGCAGGTATTAGAGTTGATAATACCCTTCACAAGGGGAGGCTGCCAGAGGGACCAGAGGGACCATTAGCAACTTTCCCCAAGTTACACAGCAGTAAGGGCCAAGATGGAGGTCAGAATTCTTAAATCCTCCTTCCTAAAATGGTAACGTTTTCTTAACATCTGTGGTTTCCAAACTGTTTTTCAATCCATCTTTCCTCCAATTGTTTGTTCAATGATCTAACTTCTTGCAGACCTTTTAAATCTGGTGAGATCCCAAGCAGGACAGATGGAACACTGACATCACATCACTCTTCCCTCTGCCAGTTGTGCTCCTTCTAGGTTGAGCCAGCAAGGTCCTGCGCCCTCTAAGCCTGGCCCAGCCCTGGGGCTTTTCGACTCCCTGCTCCCGCTGGCCGTCCAATCTGTTGAAGCCTCAGACATCACCCCGTTGCCAGGGCAGTCATTACAGTCTGAATCTATCTCATAAGTGTCCTGCCACTGCCAGTCTTGGCCCATATTGGGAAGAAGGCAGTTACAAAATGTTGCCCTGCATTCTGACTGATGATAGAAATCTATTTATTGCAGAAGTTAGGACCCAATATTCCAAGTATACATGGACTGGAAAGGTCATACAGTGAGTAAAGTGCTTGCCTTTCATACAGCCGACACAATCTCCAGCCCTCATATGATCCTTTGAGCACCACCAGAAGTGACCCCTGAGCACAGTGCAAAGAGTAAGTCCTGAGCATCACAGGGTGTCACCCAAAATCAAAAGAAACCTAGGTTTCCCTGTCTCCTTTTCCTCTTTTTGAAAACAGGAGCAGAATTGTCTGTACCAAAGCTCTAGTATGAAATTACTGTGTTGATTTATAGAATGTGCTGGCATAGTGCCTGATGAATGCATTAACTGCTATCTTAAGGGCATCCACTCCATCTCAGAGAGTCCTCTAAGTCCTTTGCATGGATTAATTCATCTAGTGAATAATTAGAGTCAGGAATCATTACCATGGTTAATTGGACCCTAACTACTTCTGTGCATCAGCCCATCAACCCCTCCCAGACAAAGAGACTCTGAAAAATGCTTTCCCCATTTTATAAATGAGAAAAGGTGGACTTGAGAGTCAAGAATAATATAAGACATTGAGGCCAGTATGATAGTACAGCCGGTAGGGCATTTGCCTTCCTTGCAGCCAACCTGGGTTTGATCCCAGCATCCTATTTGCATTGCCTAAGCATTGCCAGGAATAATTGATGAGTGCAGGTATTAGTAACCCCTGAGCCTCACTGGGAGTGGCCCAAAAGCGAAGAAAGAAAGAAAAGAAAGAAAGAAAGAAAGAAGAAAAATAAGAATATGAGACAGTGTATGCCGTGGTCCACTCTCTCTTCTGAGCCTCAATGTTCTCCCATATTTGCCTGCATTTTTTTTGTGTGCCATTGACTTCAGAAAGTTCAAGTTTTTGTTCTGGGGCTTTGTTTATATTTTGTAAGTTTATAGTTGGGCAAGCGTGCCAAAATGGTATCTACTTATTTCACCACGGAAGTGGCACGCTCAGTTAAATGCAGTCCCTGTGATAATGCTGTCAGATCTGATGTCTCTCTGCCTCCCAGGTCACATCTCACTCCATTTTCTATTTGCTCAGATTCACCCACCACACTGGCCTTCCAAACTCATTATCCTGAAGGATCTTTTCCTTGTTTCTGTTTCATTTTGCTTGAGTTTTCTGATCTTGACTCTTTACATCCATAGTGTTTCACTTTTCACTGAATCATCATATGTGAAAAAACAATAATTATCTGGAGCCTTATGGCCAAGACTGAATCTCAGGGATTGAATAAAAGCCTGTTTGAGAGAGAGAGAGAGAGAGAGAGAGAGAGAGAGAGAGAGAGAGAACTTACTTATCTTTAGACTGTAGCATTTTAAGTTTAGACCAAAGAGAAAAAACTTACTGCATGAAAACGTTGGTGACATTTCAGTAACTGCTTTCTATTGGCCAAAATTCTCTCCATGTCTTCTCAATTCATAACCCTGCTTTCCTTCAAATTTTCATGTCTAACTTGATGGAGCCAGTTTTGAGTGGAACCAGGTGGGGTGGGGGAGGGGGCATTCCCAACCTGTGCTCAGGGCTTACGTCTGGCTCTGCCCTCAAGAATAACACCTGGCTGTGCTCACGAGACCATATGTGGTGTGGTGCCAAAGACTGAACCCAGGTCAGCTACATGCAAGGCAAGCTACCTACTGTACTATCTCTCTGGCCCCAGTGAAGCTAATTTTTATTGGCAAAATAATTTATACAATAAAGAATGAAGAAAACAGAGAGAATTGGCTTCTAGTATTATCAGCTATTAGCTGCTTCTCAAGATGGGTCAACTAAGGGACTCTGACAAAGCCCATTCTCTTTGACGTGGTCAAAGAGAATTTTAGTGGGCTGAGGGTAGGTTAGTGTTTTGAAGCTTTCAGAATATGGTGGACTGAAAAGGATTTCAGCCAAATACTTGATGGAGAAGGGAGAATATGTTTCTTTATACATTTATATGCAAAAAGAAGAAGCTATGCAAGCAGTCACCCATTTATCAGGAGTCAGAACTCGGCATGGGGTCTGGGCAAGGATTTTGGAAAAGCTCAGATTTGAAAACTTGGGAGAGCTGTCTGCCAAGCGGACTTTAATAGAGGTTCATGTAATAATTGGCCTGGGAGTTTTAACCAAAAAAGTCAATGCTTTGAAGTGCTGGAAACAAAGAAAAAAAATTATGGCAGTTTTATTGGCCTCTACAATCAGCAGCAGATGATAAACAACAAACAGGTCTAAGGGCCTTCTGCAATCCAGCGGCGGCCTGCGTTCTGCAAGCCATAGAAAGCTCCGGCCAGCAGCCTGAGCAGTGTAAGTTGTCAGGTCGTAGATGCTTCTGATGAGTTAGGGAGGTTGAAGTTGCTCCAAGTCCAAGCTGCTGGAGCCGGACGGGCTCTCCAGAGGTTTCTAAACCAAGACATGCGGACTGCAGGGAGACTGAGACCCAGATGTCCCCAGAATACCTGAGCACTTGAGCGCCCCTTGTTTTTCTCCTCTGCCCCATCCTTCTCCAGGGCCCACCTCCCCAGCCCCCCACCACTACACCACTACCCTCTCCTGCTTGCTTTGTGGGGACACAGGAGGGCATTGCTGGTACTGAGAACTCCCTCCCCCTTGGAATTCGCTGTGTTTGAGCTTTGTGATACAGAGTTTGAGTTTAAAATTTATATATATATATATATGTGTGTATATATATATGTGTGTGTATATATATATATATATATATATATATATATATATATATATATGGTCATGGTCCTCCCGTTGTTCATCAATTTGCTCGAGCAGGCCCAGTAACATTGTGAGACTTGTTACTGTGTTTGGCGTATTGTATACGTCACGGGTAGCTTGCCAGGCTTTGCCGTGAGGGCGAGATACTCTCAGTAGCTTGCCAGGCTCTCCGAGAGGGGCAGAGGAATCGAACTCAGGTCAGCCATGTTGGCTTCATGTAAGGCAAACGCCCTACCCACTGTGCTATCGCTCCAGCCCATATATGTATATGGGGATATATATATATATGTGTGTGTATATATATATATATATATATATATATATATGTCTCCAGAACTCATTGTCTGTGCCCAAGATTTTTGTCCCTGAGCTATGAATGGGTTTTTTTCATCCTGGAGGACTGTTTTAAGATTCCTTTGAAAATTATTCCTCTTCCCCTTTCCTTTTGCTGTCATTGTGGCCAGAGATCACACAGACTGGAGTGTGTGTATGTATGTGTGTGCGCGTGCACGCACTTGTGTGTGGGGGGGTACAAGTGTGTGTGTGTGTGTGCGTGTGTGCGCGTGCGCACATGCGCACCTACACATGTGTACAGACTAACTTGAGAGCTCACCCATGTGAAGGAGAAGCAGGATGAGATAAACTGTGCTGATGTCTTATGCAAAGGGCAGCAGATAGTTGTGAAGAGATTGAGGGTCACTGTGTGAAGACGGTATCCCTAGCATGTTCCATGTCTGGTTAAGTTTCTGGGGTTCTAGTCAGCCTACCAAGCCCACAGTAGGCACTCAAGAGGGCATTTGTACTGGGTTGAGTCTGCCAGGATACCTTCAAGGCTCAGGTCTGAATGTGGTAGCATGAGCTGACCAACATTTAAATAATAGAGGATTGAAATACAAGTTCAAGGATAGAAGAAGCTCCAGGAGACATAGGTTCACTGTAGATAATGTGTGAACCACAAATGGGTTTCAGAATGTTCCAGGAGACCCAGAGATTAAGTAGAGATGCCTCAACAGATGCTGGATCAAACAGCTCTGGACCAGCCATTCCCATAGCATGTCTGTGTTTATATGCACATGTGTAGGCATACATACACACATACACATACACACACACATCAGGGTAGGATCTTTTTGTTTACCTATTATTTGGCTTTCATTCATTCTATATACATTGATTGAGTCCCTATTACATACTAGGCAGTCTTCTCAGTAGCAGGAATACAATGTGGCAAAAGATACCTGCCCCCATGAATCCTATCCTAGAGCATGAAGGGTTCATCCAGGCTTTCTTTTGAAAAAAGTTTGCATTTGGGGATGGGTGGATTGGGGAAGCGGGTGGGGAGTTAGGGCTATACCAGCAGTGTTCAGGGGATCAAACCCAGGCCTCCTGCATGTAAAAGAATGCACATGAGCTACCTTCCCCACCCCTGCATTTTTTAAAAGGCTATTGCAAAAAAGCATCTTGAGTCCAGGGATGTGGCTCATCCTTAAAGCACTTGCCTTGCATGTGTGAAACTGGGCACAGTCCCTGGCACGGCAGATCAAAAAGGAAGCAGGTGTCTAAAAAATATCATAGGAATTTTAGAAAGAGGCAGTAGATAGGACCCAAGGTCATGACAAAAGCTTAAACTATCTTTCCAAGGAAATGGGTTTGACTGGATCTGAGAATGAGTAACAGCTAAGTCCAAACTCTTAAACTTCAGGTCACAATTCCTTGTGGGCTTATGTTGCTGAAGGATGGTGGAGTTAGCAAAACCTCTGCCAAAAACAAAAGGTTTCTGAACACGCAATGACCAAAAATTAACTCAATGTGGGAGGTGGGGGGGGGGGGGGGCGGACAGGTAGTACAGGGGGTTAAGATGCTAGCCTTGCTCCTAGCACAGCAACCTAGTTCCATCCCCGGCACCACTTATGGTTCCCTAAGCACCATCGGGAGTGATCCCTGAACATAGAACCGAGTAATCCTAACATAGATTCCTGCTAGGCATGACTCACAAGCAAACAAAAAATAAAATTTAATTCAAATGCAAATACATAATAAATTTGGGGCATTTCTGGCAACCCTCATATATATTATGTTTATTGGATGAGAGAGGCTTTCAGCTGGGAAGACTTTCAGATGCCCTGCTCTCAACAAGCAGAGGCCTGGTGGAGTCCGTGTGGACGTGAGGGCTGGAGGCAGGGCGACATAGGCTGTTTTGGGGTATGGGTGAAAGGGATCGATGCTTGGTGGAGCCAGTGAGACCCAGGGTGGAAGCGGACAGCAGCGGTGGCTGCTCAGTACCAGGCTTGGTAAAAGCCCATTGGGAGGAAGCAAGTCCTGACGTTGAGTAAATCTGAAGCTCAGGCTAAAACATGTGCTACCCAGGAGAAAGCTCTGAGCCGAGAAGATAGCTCAGAGGGCTGGAGCATGTGCTTTGCACAAGAGAGTTCCTGGTTTGATCCCAGCCAGCAGTGACCCCAGAGTCCCTGAGCATCACCAAACTGAAAATAATAATAATAATAATAATAATAATAATAATAATAATAAAGTCCAAAGCGCTGTGGCAATTTGGAGAACCTGGTATCTTGTGCCAGTAAAAGCTCCTCGTGACTGAGCTCTGTTGCTCTCAGCCCAAGTCTGGTTTCTCCGGGGAGCTGCTGCTTTTTGGAAGCTGCTGCTTTCAAAAACCAAACAAACACAAGCACGCACGCGCACGCGCGCACACACACACACACACACACACACACAGAGCATGAAAGAGAAAGGCACTGCTCAGCAGCTCAGTAACTCAATAACTCAGTGACGCAGCTTGATTGGGTGGGGGAGAAGGAGTAAGATGTGCCAAGTGCCTCCTGGGAGGGCCTCTCGGGGGTCTCTTGGTGACTTCTCTTGGCCTCTCGGGGGTCTCATGCTGACCTCTGCCCGCAGCCTGCCTTCAAAGGCCTCACCTTCACCGACCTGCCTTGGTGCTTACAACTGAACATCATGCAGAGGCTGAGCGACGGGCGTGACCTGGTCAGCTTGGGCCAGGCGGCACCTGACCTGCACGTGCTCAGCGAGGACCGGCTGCTGTGGAAGAAGCTCTGCCAGTATCACTTCTCCGAGCGGCAGGTAAGTGGCACTACCCTGCAGTGGGCTCACCCCCTTAGCATCCTTCCTGGCCCAGGTGTCGGTGTCCACCCCAGGCTTCCCTGGTCTGAAGGGAAATCACAGTGGAGGGAGCAGGATACTTTGATAGGTTTTCTTTTCCCCACTTTGGGGCATATTTGGCAGGGATCACACTCATCAGTGTTCAGGGACTACTCCTGACTCTGTGCTCGGAAGAGACCCCGGGCAAGGCTCCGAGGGACCATATGTGGTGCTGGGGACTCAAACTGAGATCTGCAGGATGCAAGGCAAGTACCTTAATCCCTGTACTATCACTCTGGCCTGATGGTGGTTTTGATAAGAAAAGGCATTTACAAGGCTGAAGAGATGGTACAGGGGTGCTTGGTTGCATGTCACCAGCCTGTTTGATCTTCAGCACTATGTACAGTCCCCCAAGCCCCACCAGGAGTGATCTCTGAGCTCAGAACTACCAGGTATGGCCCAAAAATCAAAAACCAAACACACACATACACACAGAGCATAAAAGAGAAAGACATTTTTATTGTGCCGGAGTATAGTGGGACTGGGGCCACATCTGCAAGACTCGGGGCTAACTCCTAGCTCTGTGCTGTGGGAGTGTTTAAGGGGCCGTATGATCCAGGGATAGAACTGGAGTTGGTTGCCTAGAAAGCACGCACCTTATCCCCTGTACTGTCTCTCAGAACCAAGGCGTTTGTATTCTTAACCTACTCAACTCACACTTTATAGCTTGCTTCCCCACCCCTCAGAGTGACTCGATGCCACCAGTATTTTCACTCTGATATTTTTTAACTTAAGTGTTTTTATGGCTTTCATTTTATTCTATGGCCCCGGGATGGCTAGATGTGTTACGCCCACTCTAGACAGGCGTAGGGATTAGGGAGATAGCTCCAGTAGTACGGCACGTGCCTGCTCGCACACAGCCCCGAGCTGGATCTCAGGACCCTGTGCCCCCACCCCTGCCCCAGCACTACCAGGATGGTCCTGCTGTCCCCTGCATATCCCAGGATCTCATATATCTGGGAGTAACGATATCTGGGAGTGCCAGCACACAGGCATCCCACAGTGGACAGCCCCTATGAAAAATCAGGAGATGTGAGGGATGGGTGTTTGATCATTGTGTGATTATAACCCAAACATGAAAGCTTGTAACTATCTCACAGTGATTCAATAAAATTTAAAATAAAAAAAAGAAAAATCAGCAGATGAAGATGCTCAAGCCCTTGATATATGCCAGTGAGCACATTAGCCCCCTAAGTGCTGGACACTGACATTTAATTTGAACCTGGGTCTTTTGTCCCCAATTCCCCCCTCCTCTTTCCCCTCCTCACCCCCAGACTTTCCCCTCAACCAACTGTTTTATACAGATGCATGAGTTCAAGTCCTATTCTGGAAGACACTAGAATTTAGAAAGAAAATAGACTCCCCATGCCAGGCAACTGCTGTGTCTCCCAAAAAATAATCCCCAAAGTCCATAACAGAGGAATGGTTAAAGTGGTTTCTTGAGCTCATCTAATCTTTAAAGTGGCATTCTTCAGCCACAGGCCCACGGACGGGTCCATGGTAAAAGGTTGAAAACCACAAGTCTCCTACCTGGGTTAGAACTGCCAGTCCATGGATTAGGATGCGAGACAGGTGCCAGCCCGCCTATGTAAAAAGATTGAAGAGCACTGCTGTAAGAGACATCTGAACCACCACTGGCTCACACTTGGAGATCACAGTACATTGTGCATACCACTAACACTCACACTAGGATGCCCCATTGGAGGGCATGGACCACTGGTGGCTCACAGTAGGATGTGCCTTTGTGATGGCGTGTACCACTAGTGGCTCACAGTAGCTTGTCCCATTGGTGGCGTGTACCACCAGTGGCTCACATTTCAATATCACGTCTGACAGACTGTACCAAATAGGTACAGTAGGTCCTAAAATTAATTTTGTAAATAGAAAAATAAAACCAACACACAGTTTAAAAATTTACTTATTAATAATTTTAGGTTTTTAATTCCGTTGTATTTATTGAAAGAAAATAGGATTTATTTCGTGAAGTAAGAAAAGCAAAATGCAGCTGGTGTCTGTGTTCTAAGAGGGCAGCACTTAGAAGGGACTTTTGTCCATCAGGGTTCCTCCTCCCCAGATACTGCCAGAGTATATGTGAAAAGAGGAATGGTGCTTAGGAGCAGGACTCTTCAGAAACAGGGAAGCCCAAACCATCTTCTTGATGAACAACCATGTGTTCACTCTTTAGATCCGCAAGCGATTAATTTTGTCAGACAAAGGACAGCTGGATTGGAAGAAGATGTATTTTAAGCTGGTGCGATGTTACCCACGGAAGGAGCAGTATGGAGACACGCTGCAGCTTTGCAAACACTGTCACATTCTCTCCTGGAAGGTAGGAATCCCGGAGCCCTGGAAGCCAGTTGCACTGCACCAGCTGGCTGGGCCCAATTCATGCTGGTTTCTCACTCTGGCACCTCCTGCTGAAGATGAAGGCAGAGTTGGTTCACACCCTAGTGGGAGAAACGAGGGAGAAAGACTTTCCACCCTCCCCTCCTCATCCTCTGTCTCTCTGCACCCTCCCCTCCTCTGTTCTCTCTCTCTTTCTCTCCCTCTCCCTCTTTCCCTCTCTCTCTCTGCAGCCTTTACACCCTCCCCTCTTCTGTCCTCTCTCTCTCTGTCTCTCTGTCTCTGTCTCTCCCTCTTTCCCTCTCTCTCTCTGCAGCCTTCACACCCTCCCCTCCTCTGTCCTCTCTCTCTCTCTCCCTCTTCCTCTCTGTCCCTCCCTCTCTTTATCTCTGTCTCTCTGTCTCTGTGTCTCTGTCTGTCTCTCTCTCTCTCTGCAGCCTCTCACCCTCCCTTCCTCCCATCTCTCTGAGCACAGATGCATACAAACACTGCTCTCTGGATCTTTCCAGAACATAGGCATTCTTGACCCGGGACTCTTCTCTTGAGGGTGGACAGTTCCTGTGATGCTGTCAGCCTACACGCTGGTTCTCAGAGCTGTCGTCTAACTGTGGCTTTCCTTTGCAGGGCACTGACCACCCCTGCACAGCCAATAACCCAGAGAGCTGCTCCGTCTCCCTTTCACCCCAGGACTTTATCAACCTGTTCAAGTTCTGAATCCAGCGCATGACAGCACTGCGGAAGGGATCCCCCTACTGATTGGAGGGCTGGGAAGACAGCATTTGGACTCTGCATTTGTAAATAGTGTACATTTTCGACATTGGCTCAAAACTTCTGAGATAAGTCATTGAGAGGACTTTGGAGGGGAGACGTGCATTTGCTGGCTGGGAACTTTACAAATCTGGACTTTCTGTTAGGATTGGTATGGAACGGCAGAAACTCTGTCAATAAACTCTGCTAACCATATTGCCAGCAAGACCGGAAGGGTAAGGATTCTGTCTCCTCGGTGAAATGCTCTTGCTCTTCCCTGAAAGGTCTTCCTAATTCCCTAGAGATGTGGAAGCAAAAGGGCAAAACTCAAAAACACAAGGACTTGGCATGTGGCCCAGCAGTTAAGCACTTGCCCTGCGTGTGGGAGGCCCTGGGTTTGATTCCAGGCACTATCCAAAAAACCACTCGAAAACAAACTAGAATGCTCTTTGTTTATAATGTGAAATTGTGTTGAAAGAAGCGGGGAGGGGATGGAGAAGACCTACCTATGTGACATCCCTGGGCTTTTGATTTTGATTTTGGGGGTTTGTTTTGAAAAAACAGAGGAACCACCGCTATCTTGAACCCACAAGGGGCTGGCTGGGGCCTAACCTTATGAAACCGTCGCACAATAGTCTACCTCGGAAAGAAGACCACGCTCTCTGCTCTCTCTGACAAAGCGCTTTGACCACCAGGCAGTGTCTGCTTTACTTGTTTTTTTCTTTCATCACGTAGAAAATGATTTTAAATATGAAGAGAAGGGCCAGGGATGTGTCTTCGTGGTAAACAGATGCCTGGCATAGGTTAGAAGCCCTGCAACCATGAAAGAATCACGTCCAAGGGGGAAAAGATTTAGAATGCAATTATCCTCCTGTCACAGATCTCCTCTTCAGCCCCTCTCCCCTTTATCAGTCCCTTGATTCTGCAGTGGCCCCAGAACACCCTAGGCCCTTTTTTATTAACCTTGCAGTTGGTTCAGAGCAACAAAAGGCTAATCAAAAGCAGTCCCCCAAGAAGGCCTGCTAGGGGAAGGAGAATCAAGACAGCCCCTTGCTGTGAAGAATTTCTTATTCCAATTTAACTTCTTAACTTGTCTGAGCGTCCCTGGGTATCTTTATGGATAAGCATATCTCTGGACGGGAGTCTGGAGCCAGACTGCTGATAGTAGCTTGTAAGTCAGGTTTTAACATTATCAGTTCAACCACGTTCCCGGCCATTTCCCCTCTTGGCTGGTGCCGAGCTGAAGGGCTCGCTTTCCTTGACATTCAGCATCATCATGGAGTCAACCTGACCGAGGGCTATTTGCAGGGCGGATGACCACATTAAAGCATATCAGCCAAGCAGGGAAGTGAGGTTCCCTCAGTTCTCCCTAAACTTGCCTCCTGCCTCCCCACCCCCCAGGGGATACTGCCAGGCAGATCTCAGCAGGCCACCATGTAAAAGAAAGAACATCTTAGCCCTTAACTGGGTTCCTTGTCAAAGATTCCAGGGAAGGGGGGTGGGGGGCATGTGTGTTTTTTACGTTTTTTTTTTAATAGAACTTGGCTTTTCTATAGCAGTGTACATATATATATACATATATATATGATTATTTTTGAAGTTGTGTTTGCTTTTGTGGGGCTTTTGGTTTGGGGGTTCTTTACAAATACATTCACCACCCTGCATGCCCTTGGCGCATAAGGTGAGTAGAAATAGCAACCACAGTCTCAGGTGTGTTGATGCACAGCATAACCTGAGAGGTTGAACCCTAGTATCTGGGGTGTTGGGATGGATGGTGGAGCCTAGATGGGAGCGAGCAAAGGACTGACTAGTGAGCCTGGGCCACCTCCATCCTTCATCCTGAACAACTCAAGTCAAAGCTTTCAAAAGAGAAGTCAGCTGCTCTGTAATCCTCACTTGGCAAAGCCCATGCCTACACTGAGGTTTCTTTATTCTGTAGTTATCTCTTCTAAGAAGCAATTAAATTGAATTTCAGTTCTCCCTCCTGCAAAAATTTAAATAAGATCTTATTGAGGAACATTCAGTTTTGGAGGGCTATAGACCACTGTAAAATCTAAGGTAATATATAAGGGACTTTGTTGTTGTTCTCCCTTTTCCACACCAACATCAGAGTTAAGGTCCCATTGAAAATGCTCCAGTTTTAGGGCCAGCAAAATAGTTAAGAGGTTAACTTGACTTGAATGTGGCTTCTTTGACTGCAACCCTGGTTCAGTCTCTAGTATCACATATGGTCTCCACGGCACCTTCAGGAGTAATCTCTGAGCACAGAACCATGAGTAAGCCCTGAACACAGCTGAGTATTGTCCCCAAAATAGATAAGAAAAAATGTGGGGCCAAGACCATGGAATGAAAGGGCTGATTCTTCCACAATTCAAACAGGTTCCCAAATGTCTCTGCTTTTGGAAAGAAGAGGCATGGAGCTGGGTTTGTTGGGTTTGGAAACGTTGACTCTAGAAATTCTAGGTTTAGGGGTTCATGGCCTTCCACATAAATCCACCAATTTGTGACTTTTTTCCCAATTTGTGATCATCAAGGAGATGGAAATTCCTTGGCTGGCCCAGAAGTGTTGCTGAACATTACTCATTTAGAACCATCTACTATGATTCTCAGATCAGCCCCAGAAGCAAGGTGCTATGCCCCTATCCCGAGTGATAGATTACTGTTCTCCAGAATGTTCATCTCCAGAATGTTTTCCCCCATCTCCTATTGGAGTTGGACACAACAAAAAGCAAGGAGAAATTTCAAGGGAAAGATGCAACCTATATTTGTGGTTCTCTTTCATAAGAAGAAGGGTTTAAGGAAGTCTCGGCAGGTGGAGAGGGAAAGGGAAAGGACTGGAAGTGGAGAGTGATGCTGTGATTTGCATAAGGGCTGGGGAGTGGGAGGGACATAGCGGGCACAGAGCACATCAGCACCACATGGGAGCTAAAAGGAGGGCCTAGAAACTCACGTATAAATATTTTTAAGTTTTTGGAGCCAGAAAGGTAGTACAGGGACTTAAGACCTTCCCTTCTGTGCTTCCGATCCAGTTCAATCTCTGACACCACATCCAGCCCCCTAAGTCTGCTAGGGGATCACTCCTATGCACAGAGCAAGGAATAGCCCTTTTTTGTGCCACAAAAAAAGAAGATTGTAGTTTCTGGGCATAATCACCTATAAGTTTTCTGTTGCCTAATTTTCCTAGGACCAATTGACCTTTAAAAAAAAATACCTCTATTAAAAGCCAGAAGAGATGTGACAATAGAAATTGCTGGAATAAACAAAATTTTCTTCTCTATTTGCTATATCCACCCATCACCATCCCAACTTTATAAAATAGAGTTCAAAATTAATGTCAGAAGTCAGATTTTTAGAGAAGACTAGAGTTTGGTCCAGGGAAATATGAGCAAATCCACAGGGCTATTCCAGTTTGGTGCAAATCAAAGGTGTGTGAGCAGTCACTGTAGTCTCTGAGCATTAGGCACGGCAGGTAGGCAAAGAATTGTGCTGTTTCATAGTGCTCATTGATACCAAGCTCCAGGAGAAAGCCTGAGGACATTGGAAACCACAGTGCATTAGGACTCAGTGCTTTGACTCTGAGCAGATAATTGGTCAACAGAAGGGAGAAGAGCAAATGCTATTAGATAAAAGCCTCCCCAGGGTAACAGGTGAGCGGACATTTGTCTAATGATGATCAACTTTATATTGAAATGGTTCAGGAGAGGCATTTTTCAGAAGCCGGTTTGATTTGCAAGGGTGAAGTAATGGGGGTGTTGCGTTATGAGCACAGTTCTCATCTTTGTGGATTCAAATACAGTTTCCCCTGAGAAACTTACAATTAACAGAGGCTCTTTGTTTCTGCTCTCTGTTTGGGGGAGAAAAGAGACCACCTGGAATTCCATTTGTCTAAGCAAGTGGTATGATTTACAGGGAGGTCAGGTCAACATGTTCAGCAGTGCGTCATTCTTAGCTTCAATATACTGTTTACCATAACATACGCACCTGAGTTTATGTTTTTCTGCCAGGCTGTAGGGCTATGTTTTGCTATGCAAACACCCTTTTATAAACTTGTAAAACTGTAATTCCGTATGAATTTTTTAAACTAAGCTCTATCATCTTTTCTTATGTGGACATGTGTATGTGTGTGCTTTCAACTCTCCGAGTCTGTGAACTATCCCGTCTGGCTGAATGCTGGCCTAAACCTCTATTCATGTTTAGAGGCCTCAGTAGTGGCCTCTTCATCTCTATGCAGAGATAAAGCTCTTTGACGTGTCATCATCAATAAAGCCCTTGATGTCTTCAACATTCAAGATTATGATTCCTTTAAAGTTTGTTTAGGTGCCTTCTTCCCCATTTTGTTAAGGAAGAAAAAGTCACCCCAGTTTTCCAGGAGGTAACTCCTATCCCTGACTTGGATGTGGGAAGGGATGTGAAACCTGGTGTTTTGAAACCTTTCTTCAAAACAAAGGAATAGGTTCAGAATATTTAGGGAACATCCTTCAATGCAGACTTGAGCATACACCCAGGGTTTCCTGGGTCTTTTCCCTATGCCCTCCTACCCACCCCCACCCCATCAACCCCCGTGCCAGTGCTTGGCTGGAGACAGAGCCCAGTTGATTCTTCTCAAGACCTTCACTGTGAAGGCAAGTGTGTTGGATCCATGTTGGGCTTCGGGCTATTCTTCCCTCAAAATTTTTCATCCCTGATCTTTCTGGAAAAGTTAAGGAGCTACGTAACCTTTGTATAGACCTCTGCGTATTGGGGGTGTAGCATTCTAGTGTGAGCAGCCTACAGCGTTTTTCTTTGACAAATTTATTCCTCTTCCCCCAGGTACTTCCATTTTACTTAGTCAGTGGCCCTTCTGAAGTGGATTAGAGCCAAGAAGTCTGCTTGTTTTCTAGAAACTGAGGTTCTGAGGGTGACCTTGGAGGGCTCTTTCTCTCTGCTTACCCTAAAAGGTATATTTAAGCCATCCTCTTCTCTTCCTCCAGTACCTGTTGGGAGATCCAGCAAGCCTCTGGAAAAGTTTGATCTCTGTTAAACTTAATTTTCACTAAGCAAAGGGGGATTGTTGTTTCATGAGGCAGCAAGGAGCAAAGGACCATAATATCTGTGACTTTGTCTCCTGGACAATTTTCAAAGTGTTCTTGAACTCTGCCAACAGGGAAATCTTCCTGAAAAATCTTTTGAAATTTAGACCCTATTCCATTTGGCCAAAAATGGAATAGCTGCTCTAAACACTTATCTCCATATGCTGCATTCTTTCTGGAGGCTGAACAGCAATTTTTCAATCTTCAGGTATAGAAATACTGAACTATACACAATCCTTTTAAAAGGAGTTCAAATCATTGTCCACTCTTGAGAAATCTTGGCAGCATCTTCATTCTTCCAAGTGTGAATCCACCCCAGCTAAAGAAAGGTGTGTATTAGAGTCCACATCCAAAATTTAGAAGGGTTCATTTTGAATGAAAAATAGTATAGGGGTCAAACATGTAACTAGAAGTTTAAACCAATTACGTTCAGAGGTATTTAGTATTGTGTGAGCTGAGTTCTGTATAAATTATTTACATACTTTTCTTGCATGATGATATGATTTTTATAGTTGTTTGTACCAGACAGTGGCATATTTTTGTAAAATTTTTGACACCAAATTGCAATAAATGTTTTTCCATTATTGACATACCTTTTGGAGTGTGTCAATTCAAGTTGACATTTTATCAAACGAGTATGTTTTCCTTTTGCCTAATGAAACTTGCACCCCTGGAAACTTGTTATCATTGTGGTAGAATTTCTAGAAATACACATAAAAAATAAGCTTGGTGATGAGCACGAACCCAAATCAATAATACAGCTTGCAGTTTAAACATAGTGTTTCAACTCAATGAAGAAATATCTTAATGATGTTTTTTAGTGATACAGGAATAAATAAACTGGTTAAGTCAATATTTATTGACAGGCATTTGTTGAACAGTGCTGCTTTGCAAGGCACTGGGAAGAAGATGGTGAACAAGACATATTTAATAGAACTTACAGACAGTTGAGAAAGGCAAAAAGTAGAGAAAAAAATATTTGTAGTAAGTCTATAAAGGAAAGGCAGGATTATATGGGAGGGTTGCTAATGATAGCCTGGGCAGAAATGTTGAGACTAAGTGCTAATCAGTGAAGATACCAGCAGAATACATGTTTGCACATTCCAGAAAGAGGAGATGGCATATACAAAGTTCCTACCACAGATCTGCCACTTACCTGCAGTAGAACTTCTGCCACCTTATTTATTCTATCTTTGTCTCCATTTCCTTGGCTCCAGAGGGTGATAATAACTCTATATCTTATGGTTTTGAGGGGTAAGTGAGAAAACATAAAGTGCCTGGAGCTTGCACATAAATACAAACTCATTCAATACACATTAACAAAGACGATTCCCTGAACAGAGTCTGAGAATGAGGTTAGGAACTGCTGTCTCCAGTAGAGTATGATTTGCTCAGATGGCTTACTGTGGGTGACTGACTGTCCTACTCAGTACCCGCACTCTAGCTCACTCTCTGATCCTGACACCAAGTCTTCCTTAGAGAAGGGACTAGAAAGCAAAGGATAGAGATAATTTCATTATTTCTACCCAGATCACCAAATCTCAACATTCCCTAAATAATCATACTCAGGCTGTTCCACCCACCTCTGATGCTTTTCCTGTCCACTAATCATCCTCGGACTTCTTAGAGCCACCTCCCTAGGAAGCTTCTTCCAACTGAATATACAGCCTCTACAATTACACTTGTAGGCATAGTGACTTTATTATATTATTAGACTTCTTTGTGAGTGTATCATAGACCCTAGTTCAGGCTAAATTAATGAATCTACACCTACCTTCATAGAATGCTTTTGAAGTTCTCTTGGGTTCTTTTCTTATCCTTGACTTAAAAAACCCAGTGTTTATATGCATAAAAGTAAAGTTTTTCAGTTAAAAATTAATATTAGTTGACAAAGGAGCAAAAAGTAGAGTCCCACTTTTCACTCTGAACTTGTGATTAACCTTCAGTAAACCTAAAATGAGGCAAATGTGGGTGAGCCTCATTAAAAGAAAAAATTTCTGCCTCCAGTTTGCCTCTGGACTTGAGACCATCACATCACCTCTTCTCTGATATTCAGCCTGTCTTCCTGCCCCACAGAGTCAAACTTGCCGGTCCCCAGAACTATGTGAATCAATTTCTTAATATAAATAAATCTCTACAAATGGGGCAAGAGACATAGTGCATAGTCAAGGCCCTTGCCTTACATGCAACAGACTCTGGTTCTATCCCCAATACCATGTATTATCCCTTGAGCACAGAGACAGGAATAAGCCCTGACCACCACCACGTGTGGCTCAACCCACCCCCACCCAAAGGAAAATATATCCATGATGAATGAATGAATAGAAGATAACAGATGAGGATCAGAGAGACAAGACAAGAATTAAGGCCCCTACTTTGCATTCAGCTGATCCAAGTTCAAGCACTTGCAACTTATGATCTTCTGAGCGACTAACTGCCAGGAGCAACCCCCAAACATAGTCAAAAATAGCCCCCAATGTCACCATGTTTCCCCAAAAATAACAAATACAAGTGATCATAGAGTTTTAAAGAATGGTTCAGGAACCGGAGAGATAGTCCAAAGGGTTAAGGCAATTAATTGCCTTGCATGTGGCCAACCCTGATTCTATTCCCAGAGACAGATAAGGTCCCCCAAGAACCACTAGGAGTGATTGCTGAGCACAGAGCTAGGTGAGCCCTGAGCACCACCAGGTGTGGCCGAAATATTTTAAAATAATAACGTAAATTAAATTACACTTGTGACAAAATCTGCATGGATTTTCAATGAATTAAATACATTGTATGTACATTCCTTAAGTGAAAAATATGGATACATACATAAAGATTTATAGACATCTAGAGTCTACAGAGATAGTACAGCAGGTAGGGGGTTTACCACCCATGCGGCTAACCCAGGTTCCATCCCCAGCATCCCATAAGGTCTCCTGAGCACCGCCAGGAGTAATTCTTGAGCATAGAGCCAGATGCATCCCAAAAACCAAAATCAAGCACAAGAAAAAATTTATAGACATCTGTGTAGAGATACATACATAAAGAAAACTCTATTGGTTTCATTTCTCTGGGGCACTCTAACACAAGCTCCTAGAAAGAGACATGGCCACAGACAGAGTAGAGGAAGGTCGGAGAACGGGGGGACGGGGTGGGGGCAGAAGGAGAGGGGAATACAGCGGCTTCAAGAGGCAGCCAGCCAGTTACCACATCCTGAGAAATCATATTTGGCAGATGTCAACAAGCACGACCAAATGATCACCCGTAACCCACATAAAAGCATTTGAGTGGCTCCCCCTGCTTTGTACTTTGAAAACTTGTATGCAATTGTTTTAATTATATTTTACTATTGAGTTTTTTTTTCAAAATTATTACAAGTCCTGCTTCTTTCAGAGAGGCAGCCTAACAGCAAGAGCAAACACTCCAAGGCCAAGCTTGCTGGGTTCCACCCCACGCTGCCACTTCCCAGCTGTGCTGGACTGAGTTTGAGCCTTACTCTTCCTCTGTTTCCTTTTCTGTAAAATCTGACAGTGATGGTGACAGTACCTACAAATTTGACACCCTATGTGGAATAACTAAGCCAATACGTGTAACATAATTAGGTACATTTTGCAGGATCAGAGCAGTGCTTAACACACAGCAAGTTTATTCTACAGGAATTTGCGGTTTTTTTTATCTACCAATGTCAACATTCCTTTTCCTATTTTTTGTATTATGTTATCTAGACAGGAATACCATGTAGCTTTCACTGCCCATAAGGAGAAACACAAGTTACTGAAGAGATAGCACAGCAGGTAGGGCACTCTCCTTGCACGTGGCCCACCCTTGTTCAGTCCCAGCATCTCAACATCTCTGAAGCACCACAGGGACAGCAAGCCCTGAGCACAGCATTGAGAGTCATCCTCAAGCATTCTGGATGAGGCCTGTAATCCCAATTCCCCCAAACAGAGACACACAAAGACTAACTTAATCAATGACCTCCCACAGGTGTAGTCTCTGCCACTTGTTTAAACCAGAAGCCTCCAAACACCCCATCAGTAAATTTTAAGCCTTAGCGCAAGATTCACACTTATTTGTCTATGAAATAGAGTCTAGCACAATTTCCACTGGCCTGTATTTTTAAAGCATTATGAAAACTTAAGAGGAGAGACACCATTAGTAATCATGGATATGACTCCATTTTTAAAGTAGCTAGGATCATTTTTCACTTGTTGGGTAGCTTTTGCTCAGATGTCATTAGTTCGTCATTGACTTTTACTGGTGAAGACGCTCTCTTAGGACAATAATACTGGTGTTCATATTTTCTTGCCCCTTTGTGCCTACAATAGTAGTGTGTTCACTCCACTTTCTTTGCAAGAACCTTCCTTTGAGGGGAGTGGCAGGTAGCTTTGGGAGCATGCCTGGCAATGCTCAAAGGTTACTCCTGTCTCTGCACTCACGAATCACTCCTGGTGGTGCTCAAAGGACCATATGGGATGTCAGCTATCAAATCTGAGTTGGCCGCATGCAATAGCTTTACCTGCTATACCTGCTGTACTATTGCTCTGGCCCCTCTTTGCAAGAACCTTCTTAAAACTTTAGTCTGAGGGAATACAAAGAATTAAAAACAGACACCTAGGTCACCCTTGACCCTAGAGTATAGAAAGGTGAAGACATGGAAGGAAAGAAATTAATGACGGAAAAAGTGGTAGACAGGAGGTAATTAGGTTGGGGGCAGGGGAATGGGTACATCGGTGGAGTAGAGGTGTGGAGTATCTATATAGCTGCTGAATCATAGAATCAACAACACTGAAAGCAAGGGAGACAAAACTACAACAGACTCAAAAATGTGCCTGTCAGAGGTGCAGTCTGGGGGATGGAAAGGAATCTGGGGACACTGGTGGAGGGAAGCTGACATTGGTGATGGTATTAGTTCTGGAGTATTATACGCCTGAAACTCAACTACAAATAACTTTGTAAATTATGGTTCCTTAATAAAAAAAAATTCTTTTGTGCTTCTTGTCCATATGCTTTCAGACTAGACACTATAAATCCATTTAGCCCAGCTTATACAATTATAATATTTCACAACATATTGAAAAGAAATGACCGCCTAAGGGTGTCATTGGACCCACTGCACTTAGGGGTCAAGATGTCTCCAATTCTGATGAAACACCCATTGTCATTGAGCTGGAGGAGAGAACCATGGTCAAGCTTGACACAAAATATCTGGAAAGCTTTTGTGAGTCATGACTCTGTTTGTCCCAAGGATCCATTCTCCTCTGCTCTGTCCAAAGCAAATCCTCCCAAGGCATAACCTCCCCTGGACCCTCCTGCAAGCTGGCATCTGGTTAAGTTTGTCCAAGTTGAGATGTTGACAGAAATGGGATATCAGAGGGAGAGAGAATGATCAGTCTTCTGGCCCTCTCTACCCTTGCCTTCCTCTAAATAAGTTCTACTAGACAGATAATACAATTGAGACAAGGAATTATTAATGATATGCCCTTTAAAAACAAACAAAAAATGCTGTGCCAGTCTTCCTCCCGTTCCAGGTCAGTTAACCCACTAGTATTCAAACCTGGGACTTGGCTTTCTCCGCACAAACACACCAGGCATCCTCTAGGA